GAAAGGTGCCTGAGCCATTGAGGAAGAAGCAGCGCAGCCAGGCCCTGATTTCCTGACGGGGTCCGGGTCCTGGTTACACACACACACACACTCACACACTCACACATGCACACTCACACACCCTCCCACTCTCCCTCCTCACTGTGGGCTGCTTTCCTGCCCCTGGGGCCTGACACTCCCCTGTGTGCTTATAAACATCCCCTTTGCTTAAGCCACAAAGGCAGACATCTCAGTCCTGGGAAAGAGCTCACAGCTCTGGATCCAGGTCAGGCGCGTGACAATCCAGGAGTCAGAGCAGGGAGCAGACAGGGAGTCCGCGCGGGACTCAGGTTCCCCATCGATGCACACCTTGCGGGGAGTCTCAGGCAGCGCGCTGGGGTGCGGGTGGGGTGCTGAGGACGGAGGCTGGCCTTGGTAGCGAGTCGTCCTGCCCCTGATGCTCACTGCGCTGCGGAGCCAGCCTCCGCAGAAGGTTCTCCGAGGCCCAAATGCTGTCTGGTTTTGCCCCAATTCTGAGAGCTCCATCCACCCACCCTTTCCCTAAGCTCTTACTTAACTCTCCCAACTTACTCTGCCCAAAGTGGCGTTCACCTGTCCCTCAGGCCCTCTCGCCTTACAGGAGAGGTGGTGTATTTCCCCAGGTGCCACAAACAGACTTGGTGGCCTGAAGCAACAGAAATTTGTTCTCTTACATTTCCGGAGGCCTCCCTCCCTCCAGAGGTTCTGGGGGAGACTCCGTCCGGGGCCTCCTCTAGCTCTTGGTAGTCACCAGCTTCTTGGCTGTGGCCACCTCATTCCAGCCTCCACCTCCATGCTCACGTTGCCTTTTCTTATTTGTCCGCTCTCTCCTCTGTGTATCTCTTAGAAGGACACGTGTCCTTGGATTTAGGGCCCAGCCAGATAATCTGGTAGGATCTCCTTACCTCAAAATCGTTAACTTATTTGTATCTGCAAAGAACCCTTTTCCAAATAAGACAACTGTTGCAGGTTATGGGGTCAGGATGTGG